TATTCGTTAAGGAAACTAATTAGGATTATTTTTAATATAGGTCAAGCTACTTCGTGGTGTGTAATCTAGCATTCGTGTAGAAGATTACAAGATCAAATATGGTCCAAATATGTAAGTGTCTTTCAAATATGTAAATGTAGATTTTTGGCTGCAAAGATTTTGGATGTAAATGTTGTAACTGTTACTTTCAATATAAGTAGAAAACTGATTGGTTATAGAAACTGTAGAAGTTATAACTGTTATTTTAATAATTACAGACAACATTTTGTCAAAAATATAAATTATGAAAATATTTATATTATAGCATAATTAATCAGTTCCAAAATAACTATCAACAAAAAATTCAAAATCATAGAATTAAAAAAATTGTATTATTAATATAATTAATCATTACCAAGCGGCTAATAGATTAAAGTAATATAAAATAAATAAATCTCATTTATATTTATTAGTTATGAATCGTTGGTAATATTATAAAGAATAATTTGTTTTTGAAGAACATATTAATTACTTTCTTTGTTATTTCAGTTTTGATTTTTTAAAATTACATGTTGAAGTACACACATATAAGTCTCGTATGACACATATAAATTATATTATTCGACTGATTTTTTTTTTGATTATAATGGATAATAGAAAAATTAATCACCCTTTACCAAAATTAAAAATATATTTAAATATACTTAAAATATATCTCAAAATAATAGATAATAATTAGTCAATCAAAATATTTTAGTAATAAACAATATATAATCTATAAAGATTTTTAAATACATTTGTTAAAGGAGAAAGAGAATAAAGAAATAAAATTTATTTATTTTGTAATGACTAAAGCCTCATTTACGAGTCTTTAGAAAAAAAAAAGCAAAACAAGACAAAAAATTTAAAAACCAGCTTTTAAAACTTTAAAATATATAAAAATTTTAAAACATGTTTGATAAAAAACAATCTTTAAAAGTTATAGAATTTTCTAAAGCCTTAAAATACCATTGCCAAGCACCCTTTAGATAACATAACTATAAAACATTTAACGAAATGTTTTTGGTGTAGTGATTTCTTCAAAAGAAAAGGCCCTAGTTCAAATCTACTTGACAAAAAGAATATTTCCAATTAAAAATAAATTAAAGATTGATTCATCTTCTTTATCATCAAATACCTTGTTCAAACCAAAATCTAGAATCACTTAGATCTTTTGAAACAATTGCTCACTTTTTAATTCACCTTCTTCTTCTTGTTTTCACTTTTTTTTTGGGGTCTAATTCTTGATTCATTGTTTTCAAGGAGAGACAAAATATTGTAATTATGTAATATGTAACAAACACTGAAATGATGACTAATAAAATTCTAACGGCAATGTATTAGTGCATTAGTGAAGGTATGACTTTTAATTTTTTTTCTTCAAAGACTATTAATTCATATTAGTAAAATAAAATGCATTAATTAGATGATAAAACATCAGTATTTTTGAAACAAATTAAAACTCAAATTATCATTCTTCAACTAAAATAGTACGCGCGTTGTGCGTGGAATAAAATGAACATATAGAAACGAAATTTCAAATTTGTTTGTGTATATTCAAATTTGCAATTATTTTTTATTTTGTATAGTAATGTGCTTCATTTGAG